TCCCCCCCCCCCAAAAAAAGATACCAGTAGGATAAAAACTGCATCATGCAGACTTTTAAAATGAAAACATGCCAGTGTTAATGAGAACAAAGATTTAAGAAAAATGAAGACCAGCATGTTTTTGTTCCTTTTTTTATTAAAAAAAATTACAAACAGAAGCAACAGACTCCTATGTGCATTACCCTGCAAGCTAAAAAACATCTGATTGAGAGAAACCTTTCCTAATATTTGATGTCCAGTCAATGCAAATACTTGTGAATCTATAATATTTTCTTCATTTTTAACCCTTATATCATGTCAATGAGATGATAGTCAGTCTGTGAGCTCCTATTACTATAATGCAAACACTGCAACTGTGCTGCTACAGTGGGTAGGAACCGTTACACTGGCAAATATATAGCAAGATTTCTGCATATGAGGGGTAACAAGGAGCCTACAGTAGGCATTTTATGGAAAGCTCCGTACTTCATTACAAACAGGTAATCAAAAACGGGTTCCCAAAGCATCAGCATCCTGATAAAAAGGTGCATTTTTCTTATGAATGTGAAGTTCTGGTATGACTTTGTACATCATTTCAATGGCATCTCTTTAAACAGACCTCACCAATCACACAGATCACCAGCTGAGCCTTCCTAACAGAGCACATGGTACTTCCTGAGATACATGAAGCCAAAACTGCTGACCTCATCCATTTATCCTGAAGGGACAGTATCTTTGAAGATTTAATTCTTACCACGTGGAAAATGTGCACATTAGGAATAACATGCAAACCACACAGAACCTGGAGAAAATATGATTCTAAGGCCATCAGGTTATGATTCCAAAACTAATTTTCATTTGAAACTGTAAGGGGGAAACTGAAGGCAATGTTGAACACACACATATACAAGACTTGATATACCTGCCTAGAGATTTGTAAAGTAACATATGTACACTTATCATCTTCCCACCCCTACTGTGTTATATGACTGCACAGAATAAAGAGGGTGGCAAAGTATTTAGCACCTGCAATTCTGTAGGCTCTGTGCAAGCTTTTCCATTCAAAAGGCCACCAAATTTTAAACAGTAACATCACGACTTGGCCAATGTCAGCCAGTAATATCAACTCCTGTTTCTCCTGCAATCAGTAGCAGTGTTGTCAGTGT